ACTATAGAATCCTTGTCACGAGTTCTGTTTTCTCTAAACGATAATTCTTACTGGACTTCTCCCGTTGACGCTGGTTCGTCAGCGCCCGTGCGCGAATCCCCGTTCGCAATATACGGCTGGACGACGGGTCCGTGAACGGCGGACAAGGTCGTCGTTCGCGATTTTTGGCCGCGACGTGCAGCGCAGGAAATCCATTTTTGCTGCCTACATATTCGCGAAAATCCGCGCAGGAGTTTTTTGGGTCGCCCACTCTGTCTCGACGGACGGCCTGACCGGCATTCAAACGTCGGGTCACGAATTCGCTGTTGTCAGCCGGGGCAGACATCGACAATGATCCTTTCGCAGGTTCAACTATAGAATCCTTGTCACGAGTTCTGTTTTCTCTAAACGATAATTCTTACTGGACTTCTCGCGTTGAAGCTGGTTCGTCAGCGCCCGTGCGCGAATCCCCGTTCGCAATATACGGCTGGACGACGGGTCCGTGAACGGCGGACAAGGTCGTCGTTCGATATTTTTGGCCGCGACGTGCAGCGCAGGAAATCCATTTTTGCTGCCTACATATTCGCGAAAATCCGCGCAGGAGTTTTTTGGGTCGCCCACTCTGTCTCGACGGACGGTCTGACCGGCATTCAAACGTCGGGTCACGAACTCGCTGTTGTCAGCCGGGGCAGACATCGACAATGATCCTTTCGCAGGTTCAACTATAGAATCCTTGTCACGAGTTCTGTTTTCTCTAAACGGAATTCTTACTGGACTTCTCGCGTTGACGCTGGTTCGTCAGCGCCCGTGCGCGAATCCCCGTTCGCAATATACGGCTGGACGACGGGTCCGTGAACGGCGGACAAGGTCGTCGTTCGCGATTTTTGGCCGCGACGTGCAGCGCAGGAAATCCATTTTTGCTGCCTACATATTCGCGAAAATCCGCGCAGGAGTTTTTTGGGTCGCCCACTCTGTCTCGACGGACGGTCTGACCGGCATTCAAACGTCGGGTCACGAACTCGCTGTTGTCAGCCGGGGCAGACATCGACAATGATCCTTTCGCAGGTTCAACTATAGAATCCTTGTCACGAGTTCTGTTTTCTCTAAACGATAATTCTTACTGGACTTCTCGCGTTGACGCTGGTTCGTCAGCGCCCGTGCGCGAATCCCCGTTCGCAATATACGGCTGGACGACGGGTCCGTGAACGGCGGACAAGGTCGTCGTTCGCGATTTTTGGCCGCGACGTGCAGCGCAGGAAATCCATTTTTGCTGCCTACATATTCGCGAAAATCCGCGCAGGAGTTTTTTGGGTCGCCCACTCTGTCTCGACGGACGGTCTGACCGGCATTCAAACGTCGGGTCACGAACTCGCTGTTGTCAGCCGGGGCAGACATCGACAATGATCCTTTCGCAGGTTCAACTATAGAATCCTTGTCACGAGTTCTGTTTTCTCTAAACGATAATTCTTACTGGACTTCTCGCGTTGACGCTGGTTCGTCAGCGCCCGTGCGCGAATCCCCGTTCGCAATATACGGCTGGACGACGGGTCCGTGAACGGCGGACAAGGTCGTCGTTCGCGATTTTTGGCCGCGACGTGCAGCGCAGGAAATCCATTTTTGCTGCCTACATATTCGCGAAAATCCGCGCAGGAGTTTTTTGGGTCGCCCACTCTGTCTCGACGGACGGTCTGACCGGCATTCAAACGTCGGGTCACGAACTCGCTGTTGTCAGCCGGGGCAGACATCGACAATGATCCTTTCGCAGGTTCAACTATAGAATCCTTGTCACGAGTTCTGTTTTCTCTAAACGATAATTCTTACTGGACTTCTCGCGTTGACGCTGGTTCGTCAGCGCCCGTGCGCGAATCCCCGTTCGCAATATACGGCTGGACGACGGGTCCGTGAACGGCGGACAAGGTCGTCGTTCGCGATTTTTGGCCGCGACGTGCAGCGCAGGAAATCCATTTTTGCTGCCTACATATTCGCGAAAATCCGCGCAGGAGTTTTTTGGGTCGCCCACTCTGTCTCGACGGACGGTCTGACCGGCATTCGAACGTCGGGTCACGAATTCGCTGTTGTCAGCCGGGGCAGACATCGACAATGATCCTTTCGCAGGTTCAACTATAGAATCCTTGTCACGAGTTCTGTTTTCTCTAAACGATAATTCTTACTGGACTTCTCGCGTTGACGCTGGTTCGTCAGCGCCCGTGCGCGAATCCCCGTTCGCAATATACGGCTGGACGACGGGTCCGTGAACGGCGGACAAGGTCGTCGTTCGCGATTTTTGGCCGCGACGTGCAGCGCAGGAAATCCATTTTTGCTGCCTACATATTCGCGAAAATCCGCGCAGGAGTTTTTTGGGTCGCCCACTCTGTCTCGACGGACGGTCTGACCGGCATTCGAACGTCGGGTCACGAACTCGCTGTTGTCAGCCGGGGCAGACATCGACAATGATCCTTTCGCAGGTTCAACTATAGAATCCTTGTCACGAGTTCTGTTTTCTCTAAACGATAATTCTTACTGGACTTCTCGCGTTGACGCTGGTTCGTCAGCGCCCGTGCGCGAATCCCCGTTCGCAATATACGGCTGGACGACGGGTCCGTGAACGGCGGACAAGGTCGTCGTTCGCGATTTTTGGCCGCGACGTGCAGCGCAGGAAATCCATTTTTGCTGCCTACATATTCGCGAAAATCCGCGCAGGAGTTTTTTGGGTCGCCCACTCTGTCTCGACGGACGGTCTGACCGGCATTCGAACGTCGGGTCACGAACTCGCTGTTGTCAGCCGGGGCAGACATCGACAATGATCCTTTCGCAGGTTCAACTATAGAATCCTTGTCACGAGTTCTGTTTTCTCTAAACGATAATTCTTACTGGACTTCTCCGTTGACGCTGGTTCGTCAGCGCCCGTGCGCGAATCCCCGTTCGCAATATACGGCTGGACGACGGGTCCGTGAACGGCGGACAAGGTCGTCGTTCGCGATTTTTGGCCGCGACGTGCAGCGCAGGAAATCCATTTTTGCTGCCTACATATTCGCGAAAATCCGCGCAGGAGTTTTTTGGGTCGCCCACTCTGTCTCGACGGACGGTCTGACCGGCATTCGAACGTCGGGTCACGAATTCGCTGTTGTCAGCCGGGGCAGACATCGACAATGATCCTTTCGCAGGTTCAACTATAGAATCCTTGTCACGAGTTCTGTTTTCTCTAAACGATAATTCTTACTGGACTTCTCGCGTTGACGCTGGTTCGTCAGCGCCCGTGCGCGAATCCCCGTTCGCAATATACGGCTGGACGACGGGTCCGTGAACGGCGGACAAGGTCGTCGTTCGCGATTTTTGGCCGCGACGTGCAGCGCAGGAAATCCATTTTTGCTGCCTACATATTCGCGAAAATCCGCGCAGGAGTTTTTTGGGTCGCCCACTCTGTCTCGACGGACGGTCTGACCGGCATTCGAACGTCGGGTCACGAACTCGCTGTTGTCAGCCGGGGCAGACATCGACAATGATCCTTTCGCAGGTTCAACTATAGAATCCTTGTCACGAGTTCTGTTTTCTCTAAACGATAATTCTTACTGGACTTCTCGCGTTGACGCTGGTTCGTCAGCGCCCGTGCGCGAATCCCCGTTCGCAATATACGGCTGGACGACGGGTCCGTGAACGGCGGACAAGGTCGTCGTTCGCGATTTTTGGCCGCGACGTGCAGCGCAGGAAATCCATTTTTGCTGCCTACATATTCGCGAAAATCCGCGCAGGAGTTTTTTGGGTCGCCCACTCTGTCTCGACGGACGGTCTGACCGGCATTCGAACGTCGGGTCACGAATCGCTGTTGTCAGCCGGGGCAGACATCGACAATGATCCTTTCGCAGGTTCAACTATAGAATCCTTGTCACGAGTTCTGTTTTCTCTAAACGATAATTCTTACTGGACTTCTCGCGTTGACGCTGGTTCGTCAGCGCCCGTGCGCGAATCCCCGTTCGCAATATACGGCTGGACGACGGGTCCGTGAACGGCGGACAAGGTCGTCGTTCGCGATTTTTGGCCGCGACGTGCAGCGCAGGAAATCCATTTTTGCTGCCTACATATTCGCGAAAATCCGCGCAGGAGTTTTTTGGGTCGCCCACTCTGTCTCGACGGACGGTCTGACCGGCATTCGAACGTCGGGTCACGAACTCGCTGTTGTCAGCCGGGGCAGACATCGACAATGATCCTTTCGCAGGTTCAACTATAGAATCCTTGTCACGAGTTCTGTTTTCTCTAAACGATAATTCTTACTGGACTTCTCGCGTTGACGCTGGTTCGTCAGCGCCCGTGCGCGAATCCCCGTTCGCAATATACGGCTGGACGACGGGTCCGTGAACGGCGGACAAGGTCGTCGTTCGCGATTTTTGGCCGCGACGTGCAGCGCAGGAAATCCATTTTTGCTGCCTACATATTCGCGAAAATCCGCGCAGGAGTTTTTTGGGTCGCCCACTCTGTCTCGACGGACGGTCTGACCGGCATTCGAACGTCGGGTCACGAACTCGCTGTTGTCAGCCGGGGCAGACATCGACAATGATCCTTTCGCAGGTTCAACTATAGAATCCTTGTCACGAGTTCTGTTTTCTCTAAACGATAATTCTTACTGGACTTCTCGCGTTGACGCTGGTTCGTCAGCGCCCGTGCGCGAATCCCCGTTCGCAATATACGGCTGGACGACGGGTCCGTGAACGGCGGACAAGGTCGTCGTTCGCGATTTTTGGCCGCGACGTGCAGCGCAGGAAATCCATTTTTGCTGCCTACATATTCGCGAAAATCCGCGCAGGAGTTTTTTGGGTCGCCCACTCTGTCTCGACGGACGGTCTGACCGGCATTCGAACGTCGGGTCACGAATCGCTGTTGTCAGCCGGGGCAGACATCGACAATGATCCTTTCGCAGGTTCAACTATAGAATCCTTGTCACGAGTTCTGTTTTCTCTAAACGATAATTCTTACTGGACTTCTCGCGTTGACGCTGGTTCGTCAGCGCCCGTGCGCGAATCCCCGTTCGCAATATACGGCTGGACGACGGGTCCGTGAACGGCGGACAAGGTCGTCGTTCGCGATTTTTGGCCGCGACGTGCAGCGCAGGAAATCCATTTTTGCTGCCTACATATTCGCGAAAATCCGCGCAGGAGTTTTTTGGGTCGCCCACTCTGTCTCGACGGACGGTCTGACCGGCATTCGAACGTCGGGTCACGAACTCGCTGTTGTCAGCCGGGGCAGACATCGACAATGATCCTTTCGCAGGTTCAACTATAGAATCCTTGTCACGAGTTCTGTTTTCTCTAAACGATAATTCTTACTGGACTTCTCGCGTTGACGCTGGTTCGTCAGCGCCCGTGCGCGAATCCCCGTTCGCAATATACGGCTGGACGACGGGTCCGTGAACGGCGGACAAGGTCGTCGTTCGCGATTTTTGGCCGCGACGTGCAGCGCAGGAAATCCATTTTTGCTGCCTACATATTCGCGAAAATCCGCGCAGGAGTTTTTTGGGTCGCCCACTCTGTCTCGACGGACGGTCTGACCGGCATTCGAACGTCGGGTCACGAACTCGCTGTTGTCAGCCGGGGCAGACATCGACAATGATCCTTTCGCAGGTTCAACTATAGAATCCTTGTCACGAGTTCTGTTTTCTCTAAACGATAATTCTTACTGGACTTCTCGCGTTGACGCTGGTTCGTCAGCGCCCGTGCGCGAATCCCCGTTCGCAATATACGGCTGGACGACGGGTCCGTGAACGGCGGACAAGGTCGTCGTTCGCGATTTTTGGCCGCGACGTGCAGCGCAGGAAATCCATTTTTGCTGCCTACATATTCGCGAAAATCCGCGCAGGAGTTTTTTGGGTCGCCCACTCTGTCTCGACGGACGGTCTGACCGGCATTCGAACGTCGGGTCACGAACTCGCTGTTGTCAGCCGGGGCAGACATCGACAATGATCCTTTCGCAGGTTCAACTATAGAATCCTTGTCACGAGTTCTGTTTTCTCTAAACGATAATTCTTACTGGACTTCTCGCGTTGACGCTGGTTCGTCAGCGCCCGTGCGCGAATCCCCGTTCGCAATATACGGCTGGACGACGGGTCCGTGAACGGCGGACAAGGTCGTCGTTCGCGATTTTTGGCCGCGACGTGCAGCGCAGGAAATCCATTTTTGCTGCCTACATATTCGCGAAAATCCGCGCAGGAGTTTTTTGGGTCGCCCACTCTGTCTCGACGGACGGTCTGACCGGCATTCGAACGTCGGGTCACGAACTCGCTGTTGTCAGCCGGGGCAGACATCGACAATGATCCTTTCGCAGGTTCAACTATAGAATCCTTGTCACGAGTTCTGTTTTCTCTAAACGATAATTCTTACTGGACTTCTCGCGTTGACGCTGGTTCGTCAGCGCCCGTGCGCGAATCCCCGTTCGCAATATACGGCTGGACGACGGGTCCGTGAACGGCGGACAAGGTCGTCGTTCGCGATTTTTGGCCGCGACGTGCAGCGCAGGAAATCCATTTTTGCTGCCTACATATTCGCGAAAATCCGCGCAGGAGTTTTTTGGGTCGCCCACTCTGTCTCGACGGACGGTCTGACCGGCATTCGAACGTCGGGTCACGAACTCGCTGTTGTCAGCCGGGGCAGACATCGACAATGATCCTTTCGCAGGTTCAACTATAGAATCCTTGTCACGAGTTCTGTTTTCTCTAAACGATAATTCTTACTGGACTTCTCGCGTTGACGCTGGTTCGTCAGCGCCCGTGCGCGAATCCCCGTTCGCAATATACGGCTGGACGACGGGTCCGTGAACGGCGGACAAGGTCGTCGTTCGCGATTTTTGGCCGCGACGTGCAGCGCAGGAAATCCATTTTTGCTGCCTACATATTCGCGAAAATCCGCGCAGGAGTTTTTTGGGTCGCCCACTCTGTCTCGACGGACGGTCTGACCGGCATTCGAACGTCGGGTCACGAACTCGCTGTTGTCAGCCGGGGCAGACATCGACAATGATCCTTTCGCAGGTTCAACTATAGAATCCTTGTCACGAGTTCTGTTTTCTCTAAACGATAATTCTTACTGGACTTCTCGCGTTGACGCTGGTTCGTCAGCGCCCGTGCGCGAATCCCCGTTCGCAATATACGGCTGGACGACGGGTCCGTGAACGGCGGACAAGGTCGTCGTTCGCGATTTTTGGCCGCGACGTGCAGCGCAGGAAATCCATTTTTGCTGCCTACATATTCGCGAAAATCCGCGCAGGAGTTTTTTGGGTCGCCCACTCTGTCTCGACGGACGGTCTGACCGGCATTCGAACGTCGGGTCACGAACTCGCTGTTGTCAGCCGGGGCAGACATCGACAATGATCCTTTCGCAGGTTCAACTATAGAATCCTTGTCACGAGTTCTGTTTTCTCTAAACGATAATTCTTACTGGACTTCTCGCGTTGACGCTGGTTCGTCAGCGCCCGTGCGCGAATCCCCGTTCGCAATATACGGCTGGACGACGGGTCCGTGAACGGCGGACAAGGTCGTCGTTCGCGATTTTTGGCCGCGACGTGCAGCGCAGGAAATCCATTTTTGCTGCCTACATATTCGCGAAAATCCGCGCAGGAGTTTTTTGGGTCGCCCACTCTGTCTCGACGGACGGTCTGACCGGCATTCGAACGTCGGGTCACGAACTCGCTGTTGTCAGCCGGGGCAGACATCGACAATGATCCTTTCGCAGGTTCAACTATAGAATCCTTGTCACGAGTTCTGTTTTCTCTAAACGATAATTCTTACTGGACTTCTCGCGTTGACGCTGGTTCGTCAGCGCCCGTGCGCGAATCCCCGTTCGCAATATACGGCTGGACGACGGGTCCGTGAACGGCGGACAAGGTCGTCGTTCGCGATTTTTGGCCGCGACGTGCAGCGCAGGAAATCCATTTTTGCTGCCTACATATTCGCGAAAATCCGCGCAGGAGTTTTTTGGGTCGCCCACTCTGTCTCGACGGACGGTCTGACCGGCATTCGAACGTCGGGTCACGAACTCGCTGTTGTCAGCCGGGGCAGACATCGACAATGATCCTTTCGCAGGTTCAACTATAGAATCCTTGTCACGAGTTCTGTTTTCTCTAAACGATAATTCTTACTGGACTTCTCGCGTTGACGCTGGTTCGTCAGCGCCCGTGCGCGAATCCCCGTTCGCAATATACGGCTGGACGACGGGTCCGTGAACGGCGGACAAGGTCGTCGTTCGCGATTTTTGGCCGCGACGTGCAGCGCAGGAAATCCATTTTTGCTGCCTACATATTCGCGAAAATCCGCGCAGGAGTTTTTTGGGTCGCCCACTCTGTCTCGACGGACGGTCTGACCGGCATTCGAACGTCGGGTCACGAACTCGCTGTTGTCAGCCGGGGCAGACATCGACAATGATCCTTTCGCAGGTTCAACTATAGAATCCTTGTCACGAGTTCTGTTTTCTCTAAACGATAATTCTTACTGGACTTCTCGCGTTGACGCTGGTTCGTCAGCGCCCGTGCGCGAATCCCCGTTCGCAATATACGGCTGGACGACGGGTCCGTGAACGGCGGACAAGGTCGTCGTTCGCGATTTTTGGCCGCGACGTGCAGCGCAGGAAATCCATTTTTGCTGCCTACATATTCGCGAAAATCCGCGCAGGAGTTTTTTGGGTCGCCCACTCTGTCTCGACGGACGGTCTGACCGGCATTCGAACGTCGGGTCACGAACTCGCTGTTGTCAGCCGGGGCAGACATCGACAATGATCCTTTCGCAGGTTCAACTATAGAATCCTTGTCACGAGTTCTGTTTTCTCTAAACGATAATTCTTACTGGACTTCTCGCGTTGACGCTGGTTCGTCAGCGCCCGTGCGCGAATCCCCGTTCGCAATATACGGCTGGACGACGGGTCCGTGAACGGCGGACAAGGTCGTCGTTCGCGATTTTTGGCCGCGACGTGCAGCGCAGGAAATCCATTTTTGCTGCCTACATATTCGCGAAAATCCGCGCAGGAGTTTTTTGGGTCGCCCACTCTGTCTCGACGGACGGTCTGACCGGCATTCGAACGTCGGGTCACGAACTCGCTGTTGTCAGCCGGGGCAGACATCGACAATGATCCTTTCGCAGGTTCAACTATAGAATCCTTGTCACGAGTTCTGTTTTCTCTAAACGATAATTCTTACTGGACTTCTCGCGTTGACGCTGGTTCGTCAGCGCCCGTGCGCGAATCCCCGTTCGCAATATACGGCTGGACGACGGGTCCGTGAACGGCGGACAAGGTCGTCGTTCGCGATTTTTGGCCGCGACGTGCAGCGCAGGAAATCCATTTTTGCTGCCTACATATTCGCGAAAATCCGCGCAGGAGTTTTTTGGGTCGCCCACTCTGTCTCGACGGACGGTCTGACCGGCATTCGAACGTCGGGTCACGAACTCGCTGTTGTCAGCCGGGGCAGACATCGACAATGATCCTTTCGCAGGTTCAACTATAGAATCCTTGTCACGAGTTCTGTTTTCTCTAAACGATAATTCTTACTGGACTTCTCGCGTTGACGCTGGTTCGTCAGCGCCCGTGCGCGAATCCCCGTTCGCAATATACGGCTGGACGACGGGTCCGTGAACGGCGGACAAGGTCGTCGTTCGCGATTTTTGGCCGCGACGTGCAGCGCAGGAAATCCATTTTTGCTGCCTACATATTCGCGAAAATCCGCGCAGGAGTTTTTTGGGTCGCCCACTCTGTCTCGACGGACGGTCTGACCGGCATTCGAACGTCGGGTCACGAACTCGCTGTTGTCAGCCGGGGCAGACATCGACAATGATCCTTTCGCAGGTTCAACTATAGAATCCTTGTCACGAGTTCTGTTTTCTCTAAACGATAATTCTTACTGGACTTCTCGCGTTGACGCTGGTTCGTCAGCGCCCGTGCGCGAATCCCCGTTCGCAATATACGGCTGGACGACGGGTCCGTGAACGGCGGACAAGGTCGTCGTTCGCGATTTTTGGCCGCGACGTGCAGCGCAGGAAATCCATTTTTGCTGCCTACATATTCGCGAAAATCCGCGCAGGAGTTTTTTGGGTCGCCCACTCTGTCTCGACGGACGGTCTGACCGGCATTCGAACGTCGGGTCACGAACTCGCTGTTGTCAGCCGGGGCAGACATCGACAATGATCCTTTCGCAGGTTCAACTATAGAATCCTTGTCACGAGTTCTGTTTTCTCTAAACGATAATTCTTACTGGACTTCTCGCGTTGACGCTGGTTCGTCAGCGCCCGTGCGCGAATCCCCGTTCGCAATATACGGCTGGACGACGGGTCCGTGAACGGCGGACAAGGTCGTCGTTCGCGATTTTTGGCCGCGACGTGCAGCGCAGGAAATCCATTTTTGCTGCCTACATATTCGCGAAAATCCGCGCAGGAGTTTTTTGGGTCGCCCACTCTGTCTCGACGGACGGTCTGACCGGCATTCGAACGTCGGGTCACGAACTCGCTGTTGTCAGCCGGGGCAGACATCGACAATGATCCTTTCGCAGGTTCAACTATAGAATCCTTGTCACGAGTTCTGTTTTCTCTAAACGATAATTCTTACTGGACTTCTCGCGTTGACGCTGGTTCGTCAGCGCCCGTGCGCGAATCCCCGTTCGCAATATACGGCTGGACGACGGGTCCGTGAACGGCGGACAAGGTCGTCGTTCGCGATTTTTGGCCGCGACGTGCAGCGCAGGAAATCCATTTTTGCTGCCTACATATTCGCGAAAATCCGCGCAGGAGTTTTTTGGGTCGCCCACTCTGTCTCGACGGACGGTCTGACCGGCATTCGAACGTCGGGTCACGAACTCGCTGTTGTCAGCCGGGGCAGACATCGACAATGATCCTTTCGCAGGTTCAACTATAGAATCCTTGTCACGAGTTCTGTTTTCTCTAAACGATAATTCTTACTGGACTTCTCGCGTTGACGCTGGTTCGTCAGCGCCCGTGCGCGAATCCCCGTTCGCAATATACGGCTGGACGACGGGTCCGTGAACGGCGGACAAGGTCGTCGTTCGCGATTTTTGGCCGCGACGTGCAGCGCAGGAAATCCATTTTTGCTGCCTACATATTCGCGAAAATCCGCGCAGGAGTTTTTTGGGTCGCCCACTCTGTCTCGACGGACGGTCTGACCGGCATTCGAACGTCGGGTCACGAACTCGCTGTTGTCAGCCGGGGCAGACATCGACAATGATCCTTTCGCAGGTTCAACTATAGAATCCTTGTCACGAGTTCTGTTTTCTCTAAACGATAATTCTTACTGGACTTCTCGCGTTGACGCTGGTTCGTCAGCGCCCGTGCGCGAATCCCCGTTCGCAATATACGGCTGGACGACGGGTCCGTGAACGGCGGACAAGGTCGTCGTTCGCGATTTTTGGCCGCGACGTGCAGCGCAGGAAATCCATTTTTGCTGCCTACATATTCGCGAAAATCCGCGCAGGAGTTTTTTGGGTCGCCCACTCTGTCTCGACGGACGGTCTGACCGGCATTCGAACGTCGGGTCACGAACTCGCTGTTGTCAGCCGGGGCAGACATCGACAATGATCCTTTCGCAGGTTCAACTATAGAATCCTTGTCACGAGTTCTGTTTTCTCTAAACGATAATTCTTACTGGACTTCTCGCGTTGACGCTGGTTCGTCAGCGCCCGTGCGCGAATCCCCGTTCGCAATATACGGCTGGACGACGGGTCCGTGAACGGCGGACAAGGTCGTCGTTCGCGATTTTTGGCCGCGACGTGCAGCGCAGGAAATCCATTTTTGCTGCCTACATATTCGCGAAAATCCGCGCAGGAGTTTTTTGGGTCGCCCACTCTGTCTCGACGGACGGTCTGACCGGCATTCGAACGTCGGGTCACGAACTCGCTGTTGTCAGCCGGGGCAGACATCGACAATGATCCTTTCGCAGGTTCAACTATAGAATCCTTGTCACGAGTTCTGTTTTCTCTAAACGATAATTCTTACTGGACTTCTCGCGTTGACGCTGGTTCGTCAGCGCCCGTGCGCGAATCCCCGTTCGCAATATACGGCTGGACGACGGGTCCGTGAACGGCGGACAAGGTCGTCGTTCGCGATTTTTGGCCGCGACGTGCAGCGCAGGAAATCCATTTTTGCTGCCTACATATTCGCGAAAATCCGCGCAGGAGTTTTTTGGGTCGCCCACTCTGTCTCGACGGACGGTCTGACCGGCATTCGAACGTCGGGTCACGAACTCGCTGTTGTCAGCCGGGGCAGACATCGACAATGATCCTTTCGCAGGTTCAACTATAGAATCCTTGTCACGAGTTCTGTTTTCTCTAAACGATAATTCTTACTGGACTTCTCGCGTTGACGCTGGTTCGTCAGCGCCCGTGCGCGAATCCCCGTTCGCAATATACGGCTGGACGACGGGTCCGTGAACGGCGGACAAGGTCGTCGTTCGCGATTTTTGGCCGCGACGTGCAGCGCAGGAAATCCATTTTTGCTGCCTACATATTCGCGAAAATCCGCGCAGGAGTTTTTTGGGTCGCCCACTCTGTCTCGACGGACGGTCTGACCGGCATTCGAACGTCGGGTCACGAACTCGCTGTTGTCAGCCGGGGCAGACATCGACAATGATCCTTTCGCAGGTTCAACTATAGAATCCTTGTCACGAGTTCTGTTTTCTCTAAACGATAATTCTTACTGGACTTCTCGCGTTGACGCTGGTTCGTCAGCGCCCGTGCGCGAATCCCCGTTCGCAATATACGGCTGGACGACGGGTCCGTGAACGGCGGACAAGGTCGTCGTTCGCGATTTTTGGCCGCGACGTGCAGCGCAGGAAATCCATTTTTGCTGCCTACATATTCGCGAAAATCCGCGCAGGAGTTTTTTGGGTCGCCCACTCTGTCTCGACGGACGGTCTGACCGGCATTCAAACGTCGGGTCACGAACTCGCTGTTGTCAGCCGGGGCAGACATCGACAATGATCCTTTCGCAGGTTCAACTATAGAATCCTTGTCACGAGTTCTGTTTTCTCTAAACGATAATTCTTACTGGACTTCTCGCGTTGACGCTGGTTCGTCAGCGCCCGTGCGCGAATCCCCGTTCGCAATATACGGCTGGACGACGGGTCCGTGAACGGCGGACAAGGTCGTCGTTCGCGATTTTTGGCCGCGACGTGCAGCGCAGGAAATCCATTTTTGCTGCCTACATATTCGCGAAAATCCGCGCAGGAGTTTTTTGGGTCGCCCACTCTGTCTCGACGGACGGTCTGACCGGCATTCGAACGTCGGGTCACGAACTCGCTGTTGTCAGCCGGGGCAGACATCGACAATGATCCTTTCGCAGGTTCAACTATAGAATCCTTGTCACGAGTTCTGTTTTCTCTAAACGATAATTCTTACTGGACTTCTCGCGTTGACGCTGGTTCGTCAGCGCCCGTGCGCGAATCCCCGTTCGCAATATACGGCTGGACGACGGGTCCGTGAACGGCGGACAAGGTCGTCGTTCGCGATTTTTGGCCGCGACGTGCAGCGCAGGAAATCCATTTTTGCTGCCTACATATTCGCGAAAATCCGCGCAGGAGTTTTTTGGGTCGCCCACTCTGTCTCGACGGACGGTCTGACCGGCATTCAAACGTCGGGTCACGAACTCGCTGTTGTCAGCCGGGGCAGACATCGACAATGATCCTTTCGCAGGTTCAACTATAGAATCCTTGTCACGAGTTCTGTTTTCTCTAAACGATAATTCTTACTGGACTTCTCGCGTTGACGCTGGTTCGTCAGCGCCCGTGCGCGAATCCCCGTTCGCAATATACGGCTGGACGACGGGTCCGTGAACGGCGGACAAGGTCGTCGTTCGCGATTTTTGGCCGCGACGTGCAGCGCAGGAAATCCATTTTTGCTGCCTACATATTCGCGAAAATCCGCGCAGGAGTTTTTTGGGTCGCCCACTCTGTCTCGACGGACGGTCTGACCGGCATTCAAACGTCGGGTCACGAACTCGCTGTTGTCAGCCGGGGCAGACATCGACAATGATCCTTTCGCAGGTTCAACTATAGAATCCTTGTCACGAGTTCTGTTTTCTCTAAACGATAATTCTTACTGGACTTCTCGCGTTGACGCTGGTTCGTCAGCGCCCGTGCGCGAATCCCCGTTCGCAATATACGGCTGGACGACGGGTCCGTGAACGGCGGACAAGGTCGTCGTTCGCGATTTTTGGCCGCGACGTGCAGCGCAGGAAATCCATTTTTGCTGCCTACATATTCGCGAAAATCCGCGCAGGAGTTTTTTGGGTCGCCCACTCTGTCTCGACGGACGGTCTGACCGGCATTCGAACGTCGGGTCACGAACTCGCTGTTGTCAGCCGGGGCAGACATCGACAATGATCCTTTCGCAGGTTCAACTATAGAATCCTTGTCACGAGTTCTGTTTTCTCTAAACGATAATTCTTACTGGACTTCTCGCGTTGACGCTGGTTCGTCAGCGCCCGTGCGCGAATCCCCGTTCGCAATATACGGCTGGACGACGGGTCCGTGAACGGCGGACAAGGTCGTCGTTCGCGATTTTTGGCCGCGACGTGCAGCGCAGGAAATCCATTTTTGCTGCCTACATATTCGCGAAAATCCGCGCAGGAGTTTTTTGGGTCGCCCACTCTGTCTCGACGGACGGTCTGACCGGCATTCAAACGTCGGGTCACGAACTCGCTGTTGTCAGCCGGGGCAGACATCGACAATGATCCTTTCGCAGGTTCAACTATAGAATCCTTGTCACGAGTTCTGTTTTCTCTAAACGATAATTCTTACTGGACTTCTCGCGTTGACGCTGGTTCGTCAGCGCCCGTGCGCGAATCCCCGTTCGCAATATACGGCTGGACGACGGGTCCGTGAACGGCGGACAAGGTCGTCGTTCGCGATTTTTGGCCGCGACGTGCAGCGCAGGAAATCCATTTTTGCTGCCTACATATTCGCGAAAATCCGCGCAGGAGTTTTTTGGGTCGCCCACTCTGTCTCGACGGACGGTCTGACCGGCATTCAAACGTCGGGTCACGAACTCGCTGTTGTCAGCCGGGGCAGACATCGACAATGATCCTTTCGCAGGTTCAACTATAGAATCCTTGTCACGAGTTCTGTTTTCTCTAAACGATAATTCTTACTGGACTTCTCGCGTTGACGCTGGTTCGTCAGCGCCCGTGCGCGAATCCCCGTTCGCAATATACGGCTGGACGACGGGTCCGTGAACGGCGGACAAGGTCGTCGTTCGCGATTTTTGGCCGCGACGTGCAGCGCAGGAAATCCATTTTTGCTGCCTACATATTCGCGAAAATCCGCGCAGGAGTTTTTTGGGTCGCCCACTCTGTCTCGACGGACGGTCTGACCGGCATTCAAACGTCGGGTCACGAACTCGCTGTTGTCAGCCGGGGCAGACATCGACAATGATCCTTTCGCAGGTTCAACTATAGAATCCTTGTCACGAGTTCTGTTTTCTCTAAACGATAATTCTTACTGGACTTCTCGCGTTGACGCTGGTTCGTCAGCGCCCGTGCGCGAATCCCCGTTCGCAATATACGGCTGGACGACGGGTCCGTGAACGGCGGACAAGGTCGTCGTTCGCGATTTTTGGCCGCGACGTGCAGCGCAGGAAATCCATTTTTGCTGCCTACATATTCGCGAAAATCCGCGCAGGAGTTTTTTGGGTCGCCCACTCTGTCTCGACGGACGGTCTGACCGGCATTCAAACGTCGGGTCACGAACTCGCTGTTGTCAGCCGGGGCAGACATCGACAATGATCCTTTCGCAGGTTCAACTATAGAATCCTTGTCACGAGTTCTGTTTTCTCTAAACGATAATTCTTACTGGACTTCTCGCGTTGACGCTGGTTCGTCAGCGCCCGTGCGCGAATCCCCGTTCGCAATATACGGCTGGACGACGGGTCCGTGAACGGCGGACAAGGTCGTCGTTCGCGATTTTTGGCCGCGACGTGCAGCGCAGGAAATCCATTTTTGCTGCCTACATATTCGCGAAAATCCGCGCAGGAGTTTTTTGGGTCGCCCACTCTGTCTCGACGGACGGTCTGACCGGCATTCAAACGTCGGGTCACGAACTCGCTGTTGTCAGCCGGGGCAGACATCGACAATGATCCTTTCGCAGGTTCAACTATAGAATCCTTGTCACGAGTTCTGTTTTCTCTAAACGATAATTCTTACTGGACTTCTCGCGTTGACGCTGGTTCGTCAGCGCCCGTGCGCGAATCCCCGTTCGCAATATACGGCTGGACGACGGGTCCGTGAACGGCGGACAAGGTCGTCGTTCGCGATTTTTGGCCGCGACGTGCAGCGCAGGAAATCCATTTTTGCTGCCTACATATTCGCGAAAATCCGCGCAGGAGTTTTTTGGGTCGCCCACTCTGTCTCGACGGACGGTCTGACCGGCATTCAAACGTCGGGTCACGAACTCGCTGTTGTCAGCCGGGGCAGACATCGACAATGATCCTTTCGCAGGTTCAACTATAGAATCCTTGTCACGAGTTCTGTTTTCTCTAAACGATAATTCTTACTGGACTTCTCGCGTTGACGCTGGTTCGTCAGCGCCCGTGCGCGAATCCCCGTTCGCAATATACGGCTGGACGACGGGTCCGTGAACGGCGGACAAGGTCGTCGTTCGCGATTTTTGGCCGCGACGTGCAGCGCAGGAAATCCATTTTTGCTGCCTACATATTCGCGAAAATCCGCGCAGGAGTTTTTTGGGTCGCCCACTCTGTCTCGACGGACGGTCTGACCGGCATTCAAACGTCGGGTCACGAACTCGCTGTTGTCAGCCGGGGCAGACATCGACAATGATCCTTTCGCAGGTTCAACTATAGAATCCTTGTCACGAGTTCTGTTTTCTCTAAACGATAATTCTTACTGGACTTCTCGCGTTGACGCTGGTTCGTCAGCGCCCGTGCGCGAATCCCCGTTCGCAATATACGGCTGGACGACGGGTCCGTGAACGGCGGACAAGGTCGTCGTTCGCGATTTTTGGCCGCGACGTGCAGCGCAGGAAATCCATTTTTGCTGCCTACATATTCGCGAAAATCCGCGCAGGAGTTTTTTGGGTCGCCCACTCTGTCTCGACGGACGGTCTGACCGGCATTCAAACGTCGGGTCACGAACTCGCTGTTGTCAGCCGGGGCAGACATCGACAATGATCCTTTCGCAGGTTCAACTATAGAATCCTTGTCACGAGTTCTGTTTTCTCTAAACGATAATTCTTACTGGACTTCTCGCGTTGACGCTGGTTCGTCAGCGCCCGTGCGCGAATCCCCGTTCGCAATATACGGCTGGACGACGGGTCCGTGAACGGCGGACAAGGTCGTCGTTCGCGATTTTTGGCCGCGACGTGCAGCGCAGGAAATCCATTTTTGCTGCCTACATATTCGCGAAAATCCGCGCAGGAGTTTTTTGGGTCGCCCACTCTGTCTCGACGGACGGTCTGACCGGCATTCAAACGTCGGGTCACGAACTCGCTGTTGTCAGCCGGGGCAGACATCGACAATGATCCTTTCGCAGGTTCAACTATAGAATCCTTGTCACGAGTTCTGTTTTCTCTAAACGATAATTCTTACTGGACTTCTCGCGTTGACGCTGGTTCGTCAGCGCCCGTGCGCGA